GGCTGTTTTCTTTTTTGGCTTTTGTTTTGTTTTTTTTCAACTTGTGCATTTAATTCCTTGCTGATATGATTCATTAACGTTCATTCATGTTGGTGGGATTTGGTTAGCCAAGCCACTAATTATTTTGTTAGCTACAGACAGCCAGCAGCTAAGGTTGACCACCTCAGGTACAGGCGAGATGGTTAGCTTGAGGGCGCCTTCAGAGCTGCAAAGCAGTTGGAAGCTTCAACAAGCTGCTCGTTTTGAGCAAAGGCAGAAGCTTCAGCTAGGCTTTGACAGCTTGAGCCAGTGTCAAGGGGCATTCAGGTTCATTTCAGGCATGCATTGCAGGCCTCGATTTCAGGCTAAGACACCAACATGTTCAATTAATTATGGTGTTGCTGGTTCAAGTTCAGCTTGAGTTGTTTGATGGAATTGCCTGATGAACACTTCAGTGCCTCTTCAGCACACTGCAGTGTTTTTAGAGCATGATTGAGCTGGGCAGACCTGCTGCTCACTGGAACACTTGAGTAATTACCTAATGAAGTGTTTGAGGAAATCATTTCAGTGTTAATCATTCAGCTCATGTGAAATTGTTCATAATTAGGTGTGGTTCTGAAGCAGTGAGCTTTTTTTCAGCCCAGCTTGAGCTCAAAGACAGACCATTTGCTTTGCAAAAATAGTTCAGCATTTGCAGCCAATTTCATGCATGTGCAGGTGAAAGGTTCAGGTGCAAGCTTCAGATTCCTGCAGCATTGGAATTCAGTGACTTTTCTATGAGTGGCTCAGATACTTTTCTGTTTGAGTGGCTTCAGCCAGCAATGGCACAAGAAGCAGATGCAGCTTATCAACTGGGGGTTTGGCTTTGGGTTCTGTGGTTGAGCAACCACTTGAAAGGGGAATGCTTTTAAGCAAGTGGGCCACCAATTGAAAGGGGATGCTTTTAAGCAAGTGGGCCACCAATTGAAAGGGGAATGCTTTTGAGCAAAGCAAGTGATAGTTTATTTTCTGGGAGGGGGGGCTGGGGGCTTGCCACTATTGTGGTCCCTAAAACAATCACATTATTGTGGTTCAGTGGGGTCTGTGAGGGGTACCCTTGTCCTGATTGTTTTTTGGCAATTTTTTAGCACGGTTTAATAAAGAGTTTGCAGTTTCAGGGCTGGGGATGGTTTTCAAATTTCAGAGTTTCAGCTGGCTTTGGGTTCTGTGGTTGAGCAACCAATTGAAAGGGGAATGCTTTTAAGCAAGTGGGCCACCAATTGAAAGGGGATGCTTTTAAGCAAGTGGGCCACCAATTGAAAGGGGAATGCTTTTGAGCAAAGCAAGTGATAGTTGATTTTCTGGGAGGGGGGGGCTGGGGGCTTGCCATTATTGTGGTACCCTAAAACAATCACATTATTGTGGTTCTGTGGGGTCTGTGAGGGGTACCCTTGTCCTGATTGTTTTTTGGCAATTTTTTAGCACGGTTTAATAAAGAGTTTGCAGTTTCAGGGCTGGGGATGGTTTTCAAATTTCAGAGTTTCAGCTGGCTTTGGGTTCTGTGGTTGAGCAACCAATTGAAAGGGGAATGCTTTTAAGCAAGTGGGCCACCAATTGAAAGGGGATGCTTTTAAGCAAGTGGGCCACCAATTGAAAGGGGAATGCTTTTGAGCAAAGCAAGTGATAGTTTATTTTCTGGGAGGGGGGGCTGGGGGCTTGCCACTATTGTGGTCCCCTTAAAACAATCACATTATTGTGGTTCTGTGGGGTCTGTGAGGGGTACCCTTGTCCTGATTGTTTTTTTGCAATTTTTTAGCACGGTTTAATAAAGAGTTTGCAGTTTCAGGGCTGGGGATGGTTTTCAAATTTCAGAGTTTCAGCTGGCTTTGGGTTCTGTGGTTGAGCAACCAATTGAAAGGGGAATGCTTTTAAGCAAGTGGGCCACCAATTGAAAGGGGAATGCTTTTGAGCAAAGCAAGTGATAGTTTATTTTCTGGGAGGGGGGGCTGGGGGCTTGCCACTATTGTGGTCCCCCAAAAATGACATTATTGTGGTTCAGTGGGGTCTGTGAGGGGTACCCTTGTCCTGATTGTTTTTTTGTTTTTTTTAGCACGGTTTAATAAAGAGTTTGCAGTTTCAGGGCTGGGGATGGTTTCAATTTTCAGAGTTTCAGCTGGCTTTGGGTTCTGTGGTTGAGCAACCAATTGAAAGGGGATGCTTTTAAGCAAGTGGGCCACCAATTGAAAGGGGATGCTTTTAAGCAAGTGGGCCACCAATTGAAAGGGGAATGCTTTTGAGTAAAGCAACTGATAGTTTATTTTCTGGGAGGGGGGGCTGGGGGCTTGCCACTATTGTGGTCCCCTTAAACAATCACATTGTTGTGGTTCAGTGGGGTCTGTGAGGGGTACCCTTGTCCTGATTGTTTTTTGGCAATTTTTTAGCACGGTTTAATAAAGAGTTTGCAGTTTCAGGGCTGGGGATGGTTTTCAAATTTCAGAGTTTCAGCTGGCTTTGGGTTCTGTGGTTGAGCAACCAATTGAAAGGGGAATGCTTTTAAGCAAGTGGGCCACCAATTGAAAGGGGATGCTTTTAAGCAAGTGGGCCACCAATTGAAAGGGGAATGCTTTTGAGCAAAGCAAGTGATAGTTTATTTTCTGGGAGGGGGGGCTGGGGGCTTGCCACTATTGTGGTCCCCTTAAACAATCACATATTGTGGTTCTGTGGGGTCTGTGAGGGGTACCCTTGTCCTGATTGTTTTTTGGCAATTTTTTAGCACGGTTTAATAAAGAGTTTGCAGTTTCAGGGCTGGGGATGGTTTTCAAATTTCTGAGGTACACAATCTTCAGCTTGTTGCTGAAGGAGATGCAGAGCTGTCAGAACAGCTTTGTGAAGAAGAAGGTTCAGAGCCACCTGAGAAGAAAGCAAAGCTTCAGTTTGGACTTTCCAGGTTTTGGGGTTCACCTGAAGCTAAGAAGGAGGCCCAGCCAGTGCTTAAGCATGTTCACGTGCCCTACTTCAGGGCCAACAAGAGCAAAACACAGCTTGAGGCTGAGGCAATGAAAGAAGACTTTCAGAAGCAACTTGAGGAGATCCAGCAATTTGCTTTAGAGAAAGGCATTGACTTGAAGTCACAAGTTAAGAAGAAGCAGCAGAGGAACCCAGGAGGCAGGAAAAAGGCTTTGATTTCAGCACCAGTTGGGAGCTCCAACAGAAAGTTGCCTCACAAGACAGCACAGAGGCATGAGTTTCCTGCAAGGTTCAAGCTTAAGATGAGCCGAGACATGAGGAAAGCTATGGAGACCTTCAGTAGCAAGTCTGAGTTCTGGAAGTGCCAAGTTCAGAAGTATGCTTTGTCCAAAAAGGCACTTCAGAACATCTTGAGCAAAGAGCAGCACTGGAGCAACCTTGTTGAGCAGCAAAAGCTGAAGACACCTTCAGGAAAGAAAGCAAAGTCAGCAAGGGTGAGATCCTCAGGTGGAGGGAGGAAGGACGCCTTTAAGTCTCTGATCGCTGTGGTCAAGCAATGGATTGCAGTTGAGAGGAGTTCAGGACACACACTGAGCAAGTCAGACTTGTTTCAGGAATACTTGCTTCTCTTGGATCAGAAGGCTGAGGAGCTCATGCTTCAGGCCTCAAAGGCCAGGACAGAGTTTGACAAGATCAAACTTGAGGCTCAGGCAAACCTTGCAAGGCAAAGGAAGCAGAAACTTCTTGAGTCCAGAGGTTATGCAAAGTCCTTCACTCAGAGGCTTTTAGAGAACACAGGCTCGAAGTGGAAGACAGCTGAGGTTGTCAGCAACATAAGCGAGCTTGAGTCCAGAGTCAGGTGCCAATTGACATGGCAAGCCTTTGATTCAGCACTTTACATGGCAACACTGGCTTCAGCACAAGAGCTCAAAGCTTCAGGCTTTGTTGCAGCACCTGAGCAGTATGTTCAGGCAAGATCTGAGCATTTCATTGTTGGTTTTTCAGACCAAGTGCCCCTTTGGGCAAAGTCTCAGGGCAAGAAGGCACTGTTTGCACAGCATGAGATGCATTTAGAGCACAGCACCAAAGACTTTTCAGGGGTCAGGGATGCCATTGCAGAAGCTTTGAGCAACAAGCATGAGCCTGGCCTTGTGGTGGGCACTTTGCCTAGGCATCAGGGGCAAGCATTGAGCACACCTGACTTCAGGAAGCAGGGGAGTCACACTAGCTTCACTTCAGCAGCACCATCCTCTTTTGAGAGGAAGTCCAGCCTTGACACAGACATCTCTTCACCAGGGAGCATCAAGAAGAAGCTTTCATTTGAGGAAAGTGGCAATGATGAGGCTGTCACTTCAGCAGCCAAGGATTCAGCAACAGCTTCACAGGAGCCCAAAGCTTCAGCTGAGGAGCAGCCAGCCACAGCAGCTTCACAGGAGCCCAAAGCTTCAGCTGAGGAGCAGCCAGCCACAGCAGCTTCAGATGAGCCCAAAGCTTCAGCTAAGGAGCAGCCAGCCACAGCAGCTTCAGATGAGCCCAAAGCTTCAGCCAAGGAGCAGCCAGCCACAGCAGCTTCTCATGAGCCCAAAGCTTCAGCTAAGAAGCCTTCAGCCAACACTTCAGCACCTGGCTCTCTCACAGTTGTAGGCCACAGCACTGATGAGAGATACAGGATCACTTATGAAGCAAGACAGCTGATTTCAGGGCTGGATGGTTCAGGCAGCAAGCCTGAGGGCCATGTTGGCAAGGGCCTTTTAGTTGTGCCTGGTACTTGGGCAAGGCTTTCCAACATTTCAGATGATGGAAGATGGATTAAGCACGAAGAGTTTCAGGTTGGCTCCAAGACTTTTGTTCATGGTCAAGGAAGGTCAGTTGGAAGAGTTCTTGAGAGCTGGAGGCAGTTGAGGAAGGACAGGCCTGAACTCTTTGAGAGGATTGAGGTAATGTCTCAGCCAGCTGCAAATGTAGACTCACTGATCTTGAGCTGGGTCATTGAGTCTCAGGCTGAGCAGTATCCAGCCTCTTTGTGGCAGAGAGACTGCTTTGCTTCTGTTTTTTCAACAACAGCAACTGAGGCCATGCATTTAGCCAACCAGATCAGCACTCTAGTGGCTGCTAAGTGCACCAGCAAGCTGCAGATTACAGACAGTGACTTCAGCAAACAATTCAAGTCACTTGTCAAAAGAAAGCTTCAGCAACTCAGGCATGACTTTCAGCAGAAGTATCAGCAAGATGCTGCCTGGAAGGTTGGCAGTTTGGAGATACTTGAGTCTGTGGTCTTTGCCCAGGAGGAGATGAGCAAGAAGAACCTTGAGGATGAATGGGTTCTTAAGGCAGCCATCAGAAATGGCATCTTGGGCTACATCCCTTCAGGAGGCAAGCTTCAGAAGGTCACTGAGTGCAGCTGGGCTCAAGCAGAAGGCTTTCAGATGGGAACAAAGAGAATCCCATCAGATTGGTTCAAGGACAGATTCAGTTGGCTCAGTCCTGATGGCAAGCCCATTGAGCCAGACTGGTCTCTTTCAGACAGCGCCTCAGAGATTGCAGACCTTCAGAGATGGGACTACCACAGCAAAGAAGATGAGCAACATGATTCAGCAGATGAGGGCCAACACCTTGAGCTGGTTGAGATTGAAGGTGAACTTGAAGAGCAGCTTGAGCTCAGTCTTGAGAACTCGCTGAACCTGAGGCTTCACCCATCCTTGAGGAGAGCTCTGCACAAGAGACTTGCAGACCCTGCTTTTGAGGAGCAGTTGAAGAAGAAGAAGGAGAAAAAGGTTCAGAGAAAGCACAGGCTGAAGTTGAGGCAACTTGCCAGAGATGAGCTCAGGAAGGTCACACAGCAGAAGCTTCAGAACCATAGCAGGAGAGAGGTTTTGGAGACCTTGAGGAAAGAAGTCAAAGGTCAAGCTAAGGCCAAGGCCAAGGCCAAGGCTAAGCTGAAGCTTTCAGCAATGGTCAAGCCGTCCAAGACCCACAAGGCTTCAGCAAAGTCAAAGCCTTCAGTGCTTGCCAAGAAGAAGAAGAAGAGTTCAGCCAAGAGCAGCAAGGTTGCTGAGAAGATCACTGATGTGAAGAAGGCTGAGAAGGCTGAGAAGGCCAAGAAGCCAGCACTTGAGGAGCCACTTCCACTTGAGGAGCAGGTTGAGGAGCAGGCTGAGGAGCAGGTGGACTCAGCTCGTGGCTTCCTTAAGAAGGAGGTTATAGTCACTTCAGAGGCAGCAGGCAAGTTAGCCTTTGGGCAAGATGGCACAGCTCATTTCTGGAGCCCTTCTTCAGGCAGGTACAACATTTTGACAACTTCAGGCACCTTCATGGTTTTACCTGAAGAGGTGGAGCTTAAGGTGCCTCAGAAGGTCAAGACCTTTCAGTGGCCTGCCTTCAGGCAGCTCAGTAGGGAGGAGATGAGGCTCATGCTTCAGCAGCTGTATTGCCTTCCTGAGGATGGCTTAGGTGAGGTTGACCTCTTAGCTGGGGTGCACAAGGACACAGTTCTGCTTGAGGATCAGCACATTCAGATGGGTTGGTCCCTGTTGAGCTGGGCACTTCAGAAGTCAGGTGCAGCCATACCTTCAGACCAGTTTGGAATTGTGGATTCAGCTCTGACCCGCAACATTGCACTTCAGGTGCATGTTGAGCACAAGCAGTTTTTGATTCAGAAGCTGAAGAACCACCTCGAGCGCCATTCAGTTCTTTGTGTGCCAATCTTCAGTGAGAATCCAAGCCATTGGACTCTGCTGGTTGTGGACCAAAGATTCAGCCCAGCCCAGTTGAGGTGGTATGACAGCCTTCAGCATCAGTCCCAGGATGCAATTCAGGCTGCAACCCTTGTGGCAGAGTGGCTTCAGCTGGCTGGGTTTGAGCCCTTGAGAGTGAATTCAGCCTTCCAGGACAATTCAGACTGTGGCTGGTGGGTCCTGAATTACCTTGAGCTGGAGGCCAGGAAGTTGAGAGGTGAGACCATCACCTTGTGGCCTGCCTCAAGGGCTCAGTACTGGAAGAGTCGCCTTATCCAGATTTCAGCAAGCCTTGCAAAGGAGCTTAGCAAGGTTCAGACCCAGCTGGAGAATGACATTAAGAAGAGGCAGGATAAGGAGAAGAAGGCTCAGGCTGCTAAGGCAGCTGCTGAGGAGAAGCTGAGCAGCATGAAGAACAAGGAGTCAGCAGCTGCAGCCAAAGCCAAGGAGCTCATTGAGACCAATTCCTTAAGGGTCACATGGAAGGATCTCACCCTTGAGGAGAAGCACCAAATCAAGAGCCTTCAGGGGGCCCCTGAGGTATGTTCAAGATGCAGATGGCAGAGCGGCTGCCAGTCATGCAGTGCATTTAAGGCACTCAGGTACCTTGTTCAGAGGAAGGCAAACCTTGAGCACAAGCTTGCTTTTGTTGGAGGACAGGTGCAGTTGACTGTGCTGTTTTTGAGTTGCAGTGTCATTGAGCATTTGGTAGCACACATTGGCCTCCCTGGAGGACAGCAAGATGTTGAGCAGCTCTTCAAGTCCATGTGAGCTGCCTTTGAGCTGGATTTTTGGCTGGAAAACAGTGTGAGCACCTGATGCCTTCAGGTTAAGGTTCATGCCAGGTTGCCTCATGAGCTGCATTCCAGAAGTTCACCAAGTGACCAGCAGGCCCAAGCAAGTTTAGAACCTTTTCTGCTAGGTAGTGTGCTTTCAGCCATGTCAATGGATGAGATTCAGGAGACCCAGCTTCAGGCAGAGATTGGTCGAGCTCCTTCAGAAGAGTCTTCTGGCAAGAGGAGGAAGCTTGAGAACAAGGAAGTTGAGAATCAGGAGCAGGCCATCTTCAGCCATGCTGAGAGCTTTCAGATGACCATTGACAGCTACGCTGAGGAGAAGGTTCAGCAGGAGAAGGAGTTGAAGGAAGTTCAGCAAGCCACATTTCAGAAATTGAGTAGGACTCAAGCTACAATTGAGTTCTACAGTGGCTTGCTTAAGGCTTTCAATGCTCTTAAGGAAATTCCTTTTGAGCAAAGAGGCATGCACATTGAGCAGGCTCGGCATGCCTTTTTCCTTGAGACTGTTGAGGAGCTTGAGGGCTGAAGGGGCCTTCAGACCTGCATTTTGGCATTGGCTTGAGACAAAAATGAGCTGCTGCAGGGCTGAGTTCAGGAGCCACACGTGGTTGAGGCCAGTTTTTGATGGAGATTCAGGTGTGATTGTTTGGGCATGTTTGTGAATTTGTTGGCATTTGGTATGGGGTCAACATGGATTTTGGGTGATTGTTTGGGGGGGGATGGTTTTTTTAAATTAAATTTGCTTTGGGGAGTTTTTTTTTGATTTTTTCCCCCTGGCCAAAAACACTTTCTATTATTCTGGTCCCCTTAAACAATGGGGGTGAACCAGAATAAGGAAAAAACTTTCTATTATTCCGGTACCCTTTAATAATCGAGTACAAACATTACCGCACTATCCTTAATGTTGCGGCCCATCTCCAGCGTTCGGAGGTCTTCAGCCTCAAGTGGAGGCTTGCTTTCACGCCTTCAACCCTTGTGGCGGCTTTCGTGTCGGCAGTCACTGCTTGCGGTCTCCGTTTCCAGGCCCCTGCCTCTGTTGCCTTTGATCACGGCCCTTGGCTTTCCCTCTTCGGTATGTCCCTGCGTTCGCTCAAGCGTCTGCTCCAGTGGACCCTACCCCAGCATGCCTGCACGAGGGCCTGCCGGGGCAAGCGTGCCGACATTGCCCATGGCCCTACGGGTCTCCTATATGTCGCCTTTTCTCGCTGCCCCTGGAGCGTCCCTCCCTGTCCTCGGTGGACCTCCTTTGCCCGTCTCTTTCCTTCCAGGAAGGCTGTGGCCCCGGCGGTTGTGGTTGGTTCGGCTGTCACTGCTGACCGGCTCCATGCCTCGGGCCTGTCCGGCGGCTCTCTCTGTCGGTATTGCGGTCGGGAGCAGGAGACCATTGGTCACCTTGTCGAGTGTCAGGCCCTGCCCGGGGAGGTTGGCCAACCCCCCCCCTTGTTCCTGACCAAGGGCCTGCCTTCGCTACCCATGGCCTGCTTGAAGTGCCTGCGGACCTTCGGTCGGCGTTTTGTGCTGCCCAGCCGTGGCCTACTACCTCTCCTTTTCCACGCTACGGGCCTCGGCACACTACCCACCTTTGGACTGATGGTAGTGTCTACTTGCCTCAGCACCCCTTCCTTGCGGCGGCTGGTTACCATTGTGTCAGGTTCGTGTGCCACGGTTGATGCTGGTGCAGTTCCGGGTGTCTTGGTGCATACTGACTCCCAGGCTGCCGTCCAGGCTTGGCATGCCATCAGCGGGTCTGGTGGGGTGGCGCCGCACCTTGCTGCTGCTGATCTCTGGCAGGTCCTTGGGTCTCTTCTCCGGGCGCGTGCTGTTGGTGGTTTCTCCCTTGAGCTTCATTGGATTCGTGGTCATGTGGCGGTGTCGACTGCGTCACACCCGATTGAGGCTCTGCATGCCCGGTGCAACCATGCAGCTGACCTTGCTGCCAAGGCTGCCGCCCGGGCTTCCTTAGCTGCCCCTGCCCGGCGTCTTGATGCCCTGTTCTTCGCCACCTACCGCCGTCACCTGTGGTTGCAGAGCCTGTTCCTTGCCCTGCCGCGCACCCCTTCCCCCTGTACCCGCCCCTGACCCTGGTGAAGTGTAGCTCCTGCCCCCCCCCCCTGAGCCTTTACCGGCCCCGTGCCATGGCCCTCCGCGCTTCTGTGCTGCATTTCCCCCGCTGGGGAAACCTGGCGACTGGACTATGGGTGCCTCGTCGTGGGAGGCCTGGAGCAGCTTCCTTCATGGTGCAGTATGGCTGCTTGCGGAGGACTCCTTCCAGCCCGGCCTGGCGGTTGCGTTGGTGGTGTGGAGGCGCTACCCGGTTGTCCTGCCCTATCAGGATGGCCGCGCTGCCACGGTGCAAGACCTTCTGGTACACTTCAAAGCAGCTTGGCGCTGTGTCACCCGCAGGGCCCCACTTGCGTATGCGGGTCTGGCTTGGCCCCGGGGGGCCTTCTCTGGAGTGCGGTTGCAGTGCACTCCAGAGGAGGATGCCTTCCTTGAGCGTGCTCGGATGCGGGCGGCCCGGCTGGGCCGCGTTCCTCGCGATTGGGCCTTTTCACTTGGGTCCCTCGCATGACAGTGCGCTGGGTGCAGTGGTGGTGGAGGCCTGGAGCTGTAGGGCCCCGTTTCTGGGGTTGCTTCTGGCCGCGGCGATGCTGGCCTTGTGGTGGGGCCCTTCGTGGTGTGGGTCTTGGAGATGAGGGCGACCTCCCCTTGGAGGCTTCGTGTTTCACCTCGTGAGGAGTGCCTCTTTCTGCCACAGTCTGTGGTTTGTGTCACTGGTGGGCACCTGTCCCACCAGACCTGGACAGATGGTTGGGCGGCATGCCCCTCCGTCAGCCGGCGAATCGTCGCCCGCCGTGTGCCAAAAGGATGCCTTTTTTATCTCTCTTTTTTCCAATGGCCACTTCTTTTCTGTGTTTGTAGAAGCGAAACCAGGTGGAAACCAACCTTTTCCGGGATCCCCTTAATTTTGCAATTTTGACAGACAAACAAGTTTGGGTGGTTCATGTGCGGCTTTTGTGGTCGGGTGGACGGCTGCCGAGCTGCCTGCTATCATTTCAAGCTAAAGTCGCGTGTGTTCAGCGCCCTTTCGTCCAGCGGTGGTGGCAGCTGATGGTGACGCAACTTCAGCACTTTGATGTTGGCGGCGTGCGGCACGCTCTGCCAAGCGCAGTCGCGTCAAGCCATCATAGAACTTGAATTCGTCCAATTGGTTTCAGGCATTTTTCTGTGGAAGTGCAACATGCAACCGGCCCTCACTTTCTTCGGAGGAGGGGAAGGGCCCCCGTTGGTTGCAAGCCCACCTTGGAAGCTCAGCGCGGAGGTGCTGTGGGTGGAGCCCCCCTGGGCTGCGGACTCCGTGCTGGCGGGCGGCCTCACAGATCGCAGCCGCTGGAGCTTGAGCGCTCGCATGTGGCAGAGGCGGTCGGCGGGGCTTCATTGCTTTGACAAGCTGCGTCCAGCTCTTTTGTCGTAACCATTGATTGTTGTCATGACATTCATGACATTTTGTGTTTGTGTCTTTTTGTTCCTAGGAACCCTGTCCTTTACCCATTTTTCTCCGCATTTGTTGCCAGGCTGACTCGCTGCTCTTGCTGCCTGCCCTTCCTGTGCGCGACGCGGCGCGGCATCGCCACAGGGGGTGGCCGCGGCGCACCCCGGCGCGACGCAAAGCGCCCAAAGGCGCGAACTCGCCATCTCGCAAGGACAAGGTTCTTCCGTGTCAAGGTTTTCCCAACCTAGGTTAAAGTTAAGGATTTTAAGTTAAGCATGGATGTCCAATCTTTTTGCAGTGAGCTGGCCCTTTTCGGGTTTCCAAATGCGACCCTTGCCATGTCCCCAAATCTTGGAGAGGGAATGCATGAAATTACTTGGTCAGTGTGGTGCGGTTTGCTAGCTAGCTAGCCAGCTTCATCCCTGGCATATGGCTGAGCTCGAGGAGGCTTTGCTTGAGGTTGGAGAAAGCGGCCAACTAATTCCAGCCTAGACAGGGTGGAAGTCAAACAAATGTTCTAAATGCACCGGTAAACCCCCACCCTGCCGCCGCTACACAAGACGCATGCTTTGCCGCGTGCTTAGACTTGCAATTTCGACATTAACGGTTCGACAAACTTGAGGGGGGCCACCGGCGTATAAACAGGTCTGTCCTCTGGCAAATGGTGCCTTCCAGCTTCCGAGGTGGGTTTCTGATCTCCCTGAGCTTCCTGTGACATCCTGTGACTGTTTGCTGGTCACTGTTTCATTTTTAAGCCCCTTAGCTCCGAATCACGCCGCTTGACTTGATGTTGCAACTTGGCTCGAGCTGAAACCCGCGCAGAAGTTAGATTCTGAGCTACAGCGCCAGGCCAAGCGGCTGACGCACTTCGTGTCCCTGCGGATGGGGGAAGAGGTGCGGCAGGCGGCTGTGCAGCTCCAGAAGGAGATCCCACCGTCCCACCCCTCTCTTCCAAGGCATCCCCAGATGTTCCTTGGTTCCATTCTACGTGGGAAAGCCTGGATGCGTGGAAGAGGACATAGGAAGGAGCCAGTAGCGAAATAACGAAAATGGCAGAGAAGTCGCACGTATGAAGCGCGCTGTGCCAACTGAACGTCCTTGCAGGCCCTGGCGCCTTTGTCACACATTGTCGCAGACGTCCAGCTTGGCGTGTTGGCATCCTTTGAACTTTCTTTTGGTGGGATCACAGGATGAATAAACCTATGGTTGAGTAGTAGTAGTAGTGGTAGTAGTAGTAGTAGTAGTAGTAGTAGTAGTAGTGGTAGTAGTAGTAGTAGTAGTAGTAGTAGTAGTAGTAGTAGTAGGAGGGAGTGCCGCGAATTTGTGGGATTCATCCCCGATAGTGCACCAAGTTTATGATTTTGCTGGGTCTCAATTTCTGGTGAAGGAAAGGCCGCCCAGACTGAAACAAGGCGGTGGGATGTATTGTTGACAAGCGGCCTGTCACCAATTTCCCCCATGTTCGTCACAGATAAAGAATCCACGTCTCCCAGGTAAATAGAACAACAAGATTGCCAGCGATTCGTATGGCTGGAACTCGATAGGAGATGCTGGATCGGACGGGTGAGCTGCGAGGCGAAGTTGAGAGGCCAGGGGTGGCAGATGCCCCCAGTCGTTTTCGGATGTTCCCAAGTTGACAAGGTGTGAACTTTGCAAGACGTTTGCCGCTGCTAGAAGATCACATGCAAGTCAACCGGGCACGGGGTTTGGCCTATTCCTACCTCTAAGGAAGCAAGGTCATGAAAAGAAAGTGACTCACTTTTGAGCAAGTCACGCACACGGCTCGCCAACACATGGCAGGCGGTGCCGGCAACATGTTGAACAGTTCAGCGCCGACGTGCGTGCGTGTGTGAGAGAGGCTTGTGTGGCGTTTGTGGCTTGCGTGCACGTGCGCGACAAGTGGCCATACACGTGGCAATCGTGTAGCTCACTGGAGGTGCAAAGAGGCCGAGTGGCAAAGACATAACCCATGTCGAACTGCAGCTACCTGGGCTCCGTCACTTGCATTTCTTCCCTGGCTTCAGCCTTGCTTCCACTGAGAAAGCAAGATAGGCGCGACTCGCGGCTCGGTTTTCCTTGCGGCCATGCTGCACTTCGAGGTGCAATGTGAGACGGTGCCCGGGGAGTTGGTGGCGGTGTGCGGCTCCGGGGTGCTGGGTGATTGGGAGGTTGCCGCGTCCCTGGAGTTGGACCCCAGGGACTACCCCGTCTGGAAGGGCAACGTAGAAAGTGACGAGCCACTGGAGTTTAAATACCTCAAGGTTAGCACACAAGGACTGGGAGAGGAAACTCTGTTTGTGTGTGTGTGTGTGTGTTTGTGTGCCTTGATGGCCTTTGTGGTTGCTTTGACGTTTTCCACTTGTGTGCTTTCCTTCATGCTGTGGCCGTGTTTTCTTGTTTTGACGTTCTCTGCCTCCCTCTCCCGCCCTCCCTGCCTCGCTCAGTCTGTCAGTCAGTCACTCACTCAGCCACTCAGTCACGCTCTCACTCAGTTCCCCAGTCACTCAGTCACTCAAGGTCATTCAGTCACTCAGTCGCTCACTCAGTCATCCTCACTCACACATCCTCACTCACACACTTCCTCACTCACTCACTTCCTCACTCGCTCACTCGCTCACCCACCCACCCACTCCCTCCCTCCCTCCCTCACTCACTCGCTCACTCACAAACGAGAGGGAGTGGACTAGTAAGGGATCGAATGAGTGAGGGAGTGAAGCAAGGTGAGGTGAGGTGAGGTGAGGTGACACTGTGTGTTTGTGGTTGTGTTGTGCTTGTGTTTGTGTTTGCCTTTGCGGGTGTCCTTGTAGTTGTGGTTGTGTTCGTGCTAGTTTGGGTTTGTGTTTGTGTTTGTGCGGGTGCGTGGGTACGTCGTGCACGCGTGCGTTTGCGCGTGTGTGACTGTTCGTGCATGCATGCTTGTGCTTGTCGTTGCGTGCATGTTACGCGGGGCTGCGCCTTTTGTTCTAGCTCCGTGCCCCCAAACACTTCTCTAGTGTAGATTTCTTGGCCCCCTTGTGAAGCTGAATTGTCAAAGGAAGTTTAGAAGGAACTCCCGTGCTACGGCAACCAATTGAAAGCTAGCTCTCTGAGATAGCTGACCAGAGTGCATAGGCACACGGGAAAAATGCGCGCGCGTGTGGCGGGGGAATAAGATGCCTGGTCGGAGCGCGCTCAGGGCGCTTTCGCAGTGCAGGCCCGTTGGCACGGGCACGCACACATTTCGCAACAATTGTTTTGCATGGCAGGCGCATGATTGCAGGCGCGGCACTTTCGCAAGGTCGGCGCAGATGTTTTGGCAGGCGCAGCACTTCGGCAAGGTCAGATGCAGATTTCGTGGTAGGCGCAGCGCTTTCGCAAGGTCAGGTGAGATTTCTTGTCAGGCGCGGCGCTTTTGCAAGGTCAAGTACACGTTTCATGGCGGAAAGAAGGTATAGCTTCCTCCGCAGCCTCGCTCGTGCGCGAGCTCGCTCCACGCCGGCCCTCCTTCAGCCTTCAGTCGTGTCCGCTTTCGTTGCCCGTTGGTCCGCCTTGCTCGCGTCTGCCGCCCACCAGGCTTTCGCGGAGTCCCTCCTCCTTGGCTCTGTCTCGCCTGGCCAGTCCAACTGTGACGGCGACGCTCCGCCACTCAGTGAGCTCCTTGCGGAGGCAGCCGCCCCCCCGCCCCTTGCAAGCCGCTTGAGCAGGTGAGGACGCTGGCCTCCAAAAAAACAGCGTGAGTGCCCCTGGTGCCTGGGGGACCCCCTGAAGCAGGGGTTCGGGAGACTCGACTCGTGCTGGTGCAAAAAGGCGTGTGAGAAAAAAATAGAGGTATGGAGGTATAGAGAGGCAGGGGATAGATAGGTAGAAGATAGACAGATAGGTTCATAGAGAACTAGAGTCACACACAGAAAGAGAGAGAGAGAGAGAGAGAGAGAGAGAGAGAGAGAGAGAGAGAGAGAGAGAGAGAGAGAGAGAGAGAGAGAGAGAAGGGAGAGGAGAGGGAGAGGAGAGAGAGAGAGAGAGAGAGAGAGAGAGAGAGGGGAGGGAGGGAGGGGAGGGGAGGGGAGGGAGGGAGAGAGAGAGAGAGAGAGACAGAGAGAGAGACGAGACAGAGAGAGAGACAGAGAGAGAGAGAGAGATGCTGGTAGATAGCTGGAGAAATGGAAGAAGCCCACAGCGGCAAAATTCGATTTAGATGGAGAAGAGAGAGAGAGAGAGAGAGAGAGAGAGAGAGAGAGAGAGAGAGAGAGAAAGAGAGAGAGAGAGAGAGCTAGAAATAATGAGCGCAAGAAAGAAAGATAGGTACACATATGGATGCAGAGAGAGGTAGGTAGAAGATAGACGGACAGACAGATAGGCAGATGGCTTGACAGGTAGATGGATAGTTTGAGAGGCCGAACGCAAAAAGGAAGAAATAGAGAAGGAAGGAAGAGGAAAACCATAACGAAAGGAAGCAAGGGAAAAAGAAAGAGTGAAGCAAAGCGAAGAAAGAAGCAAGAAAGGAAAGAAAGAAGGGAAGGAAGAAAGAAGGAAGAAAGGAAGAAGAATGAAGGAAAGAAAGAAGTTGAAACATGTCAAGAAAAGAAAGAGAAAGAGGACTGGCAACTCCCGCCCACCGGTCCACGGGTAGTTCAATACCTCACTGCTTGCCTTGTGTAGTACAGGGCGTGTTGTGTGAATTGCAACTGGCTTGTGTTCGTGTGTGTGTGTGTGGGTGTGTGTGCATGTGTGCATGTGTGCATGTGTGCATGTGTGCATGTGTGCATGTGTGCATGTGTGCATGTGTGCATGTGTGCATGTGTGCATGTGTGCATGTGTGCATGTGTGCATGTGTGCATGTGTGCATGTGTGCATGTGTGCATGTGTGCATGTGTGCATGTGTGCATGTGTGCATGTGTGCCGTGTGGTGCGCTTGCCGTGTGTGTGTCTGTGTGTGTCTGTGTGTGTCTGTGTGTGTCTGTGTGTGTCTGTGTGTGTCTGTGTGTGTCTGTGTGTGTCTGTGTGTGTCTTTGTGTGTCTGTGTGTGTCTTTGTGTGTCTGTGTGTGTCTGTGTGTGTCTGTGTGTGTCTGTTTGTGTCTGTGTGTGTCTGTGTGTGTCTGTGTGTGTCTGTGTGTGTCTGTGTGTGTCTGTGTGTGTCTGTGTGTGTCTGTGTGTGTCTGTGTGTGTCTGTGTGTGTCTGTGTGTGTCTGTGTGTGTCTGTGTGTGTCTGTGTGTGTCTGTGTGTATCTGTGTGTGTCTGTGTGTGTCTGTGTGTCTCTGTGTGTCTCTGTGTGTCTCTGTGTGTCTCTGTGTGTCTCTGTGTGTCTCTGTGTGTCTCTGTGTGTGTTTCTGTGTGTGTTTCTGTGTGTGTTTCTGTGTGTGTCTCTGTGTGTGTCTCTGTGTGTGTCTCTGTGTGTGTCTCTGTGTGTGTCTCTGTGTGTGTCTCTGTGTGTGTCTCTGTGTGTGTCTCTGGGTGTGTCTCTGTGTGTCTCTGTGTGTCTCTGTGTGTCTCTGTGTGTCTCTGTGTGTCTCTGTGTGTCTCTGTGTGTCTCTGTGTGTCTCTGTGTGTCTCTGTGTGTCTCTGTGTGTCTCTGTGTGTCTCTGTTTGTCTCTGTGTGTCTCTGTCTCTGTGTGTCTCTGTGTGTCTCTGTGTGTCTCTGTGTGTCTCTGTGTGTCTCTGTGTGTCTCTGTGTGTCTCTGTGTGTCTCTGTGTGTCCCTGTGTGTCTCTGTGTGTCTCTGTGTGTCTCTGTGTGTCTCTGTGTGTCTCTGTGTGTCTCTGTGTGTCTCTGTGTGTCTCTGTGTGTCTCTGTGTGTCTCTGTGTGTCTCTGTGTGTCTCTGTGTGTCTCTGTGTGTCTCTGTGTGTCTCTGTGTGTCTTGTGTGTCTCTGTGTGTCTCTGTGTGTCTCTGTGTGTCTCTGTGTGTCTCTGTGTGTCTCTGTGTGTCTCTGTGTGTCTCTGTGTGTCTCTGTGTGTCTCTGTGTGTCTCTGTGTGTCTCTGTGTGTCTCTGTGTGTCTCTGAGTGTCTCTGTGTGTCTCTGTGTGTCTCTGTGTGTCTCTGTGTGTCTCTGTGTGTGTCTCTGTGTGTCTCTGTGTGTCTCTGTGTGTCTCTGTGTGTCTCTGTGTGTCTCTGTGTGTCTCTGTGTGTCTCTGTGTCTCTGTGTGTGTGTGTGTGTTTGTGCGCGCGCTGCTTGTTGTGTGGGGGTTGTGGGCGCGCGTGTGTGTGTGTGTGTGTGTGCAACATGTGTGTATTGTTGTCTCTGCCTTTCTCTGTCTTGGATGGTTGTTTCTTGATCTCTGTGGCCCTTTGTGCCCCTCTGTGCATGTTAGTGCTTTTGTTTGTCCATGAAACTGCGTTGCGTGTCTTCATAAGGGAGTTGTTGCTGTAGCTGCAAAAACAGCCACCCTTCGCTGCGGAAGGAGGCGAACGGCGGCTACTTCAGTGGGAGGGTGATTTTCCCAATCGTAGAGTTGAGTGCGGCAAGCACAAGCAGATTGTAAAGCATCGCTGGGCGGATCCAAGCTATGAATGCCTTGAACTCCTGAGCAACGAGGGAGGTGAGGAGCAGAAGTCGCAGAAGGCACCAGAATGCCAAGGTACAGAACAACCACAAGGAGCAGGAAACAAGGA